AATACTTCTTTTTTTGCATGCCGCGCTATTCCGGAGGTGTGGGAGCGTAAATTCAATTCAATTTGTATTCATTTACTTTATGCCTCTGTCACACATATCTTACAAACGCCTTAATGCCGAAAATTATAATTTGAATTTCGTTCGTTTAATGAGTTTGACTAAAACTCTAAAAATCAGCCAAAGAAAGGAAGGAAACAAGAAAAACCCCAATGCAAGAAAACTAAATACGCTTCCAAGTCACTACTAGTTATGTATCCATTACAGTAAAAAAAAAAAAAAAAAAGACACCAAAAGTATGTAGTCTTTGGTTGATTGTTGCCATGTTAGTCAATTGATAAAAAAAATGTTTGTTTTATTGAATTCCTAGCATAGTTTTCGTATACATTTTTGGTACAAATTGATTAGATTTTTAATTTGGTTTTTTTCAAAGTTGTTTTCCAAATTTGTATTTAAGTGTAACAATTTAAATTGAGTTGAAAATATTTGTGCAAAATATCAGTTTTCTAGCTCAAGCATTGATGGCTTCTTATGAAGCTCAAACCAATCGTAGATGGATAAGTAAAGAGAATGGGGTTAGATGGGTAAATGACCGATGAAAAGAGCGATAGAACCGCGTTGATAAAAAATCAGGCAATCGGAGTAGGTACGAACAGGGATAGATGATCGGACGGCATATGGAGAGAAGCAAAAATATACGTACAAGGACCGAATTGTCCGAATAAAAGGCAAATAACGGAAGAAGAAAATAGTTAGAAAACCTTGGTTAAAAAACGCTAGATAGACGCTAGAAATGGTCGGGCAATGCAATGGACAGACGGAGGTATGAATGAATAAATAATCCTCTGAAAAAAACAAGAAGCGGCCAGAAGGAAAGAGTTAGATGAGCGATAGGTTAAGTGCGTTAGAACGGATAAGTAAATTGATAAAGGAACAAACGTACAACAGCCAAAAGGAATGATGGACTGATGGATTGAATATAGGAATATCCAGAAGAGCCTATAGACGGACATTTCCACCAATCTTAGCAACGAGAAAAGAATTTACACATTATCTGATAAGACTAAGTTCATAAACACACCAGCAAGCATGCAGCTTAGTAAAGTAAGTAAACACGCGCGCTAATCATCGCAAACACAAACCCATTGATATACCGACGGATACAAAGTAAACTGATCAAATGGCCAAGGATAGTCCGAGTGGCACGGAAGAAAAAGATAAATAAGCTGGTGTACGAACGGATAAAGAAACATGGGAATGGATAGCAGGCACGCAGCTAGATACATGTCCAAATAGATCATCGTACAGAGAAAAGCATTGACACACAGAAGAACAAGCAAACGAAGGGACATCGAATGTGGAATTATGGCCAAAGGAATGTCAAAGTGAATGGACAAAAATGCGAGTGGATGGATAGATCAGAAGATGGATCGACGGGTAAACGGATTTCTTATAGATAGCAGCACAGATAGAAAGAATAAGGGATTTAATAAGTCAATGTTCAGTGGTGGGGAGCAACACAAGAGATATGAATATTTGGCAAACGGTCATGCGCTGCCAGGGCGAGGGGGGGGGGGGGGCCGATAAATGGATGGAGAGAAAAAAAGTTAAATAATAAGCGGACAACTGAGTCATCGCGCATTTACATACGTAGATTAAAAGATGATTATTTGATCTTGTACTGCCAAAAGTACTGGAGTGTAGCTTAACAACCAGAAAACAACTAAGAAAAGTTTGTTAGGAAGATGCCCTGTGTGGCGAATTAGAAAAAAAAGAGGCAAAGTAAAGCAACGGCAGCTGTTGGTGCTATTAGTCTCCGCAAAACAATTCTTAGCAACAATTTTATGGAGAAATTCGAGAATTTGAATGTGTATTGAGAGAAGAGAGGAGGGACGAGGCTGTTGACATGTTCTGCAGCATCTACCGGAAAGATGCCGGTCCTTATCTCTTTGCACAGGTACAGTTGAAACATCAAAGAGAGAAGCGGGGACATATCCGAAGGATACAAATAGTTATATTGAGTCCGAAAATTTTTGGTAAACAGAATAAAATTTTGGAATGATTAAAGCTTTTATTACGAAGCGGGAGTTACTAATAAAGCATAATCCCGAAAATATCAAAAATGTAAATCGATCGCGATTTCTTTCCCTTAAAGGAACTAAGGCTTTAATAAAAGCCTCATAGTTAAGTTTTACGTAATTCAATCAAAGCCAACCGGATATACGAAATTTTATCTAAACAAATTTTTTTTGTTTTTCTTTTAATTATTCCTTTATATGCTGTGAACACACAGTTGGGTTTTTTTTTTTATCATTTATTTATTTGTTTGTTCTGCACTCATATGTTATGCTGTTCTTCTCTTCGGTCAAAACATGCATTTTTATGAGTAGATATACCAGACGCCGTCAATCACTCACGCACCATTTTGACAATTGAATGACTGGCTTAACAAAAACATTGATAAAAGTATACGTTTAAACAACAATAAAAAAAGTTAGGAACTCAACCACAATAAATGTTTTAATAATAAAGAAGTGTGCATTTTCGGTGTCAAATATGAAACAGTCCGAACACGCTTACAAACACATAAGCACGTAGCTATGCGTAGACGCATATACGCAATAAATTTGAAGCTCGCCATAATAGCTCTCAATCGAACTGTTGTTGTGCGTGTGAGTGTATTAGGGCTTGAGGGTGAAGTGTTTTCTCCTTTGGCCATGTTCGGAACACGTTACGCAATATATAGCAGAGATCGCACACTTTCGACGCAGTATGAGATTTTGAAGTGCTTCACACTTATTATCCTTTCGTGAAAACATAACATATATTTTTGAAGTCAGTAAACAGAACAAAAAGGATTTTTCAAAAGGATATTTGCAACAGCTTTAAAAATATGCAAATTGCATAAATTTATTACGATTTGAATATCTCTGAGGCGTTTTGATGCATATTTTATTGCTTAAAATTGTGGACATCATTCGCTTGGAGCCACACCCAGATTTTATGGATTTCTTATATATCATTATGCGCAAGCAGCAAAATTGCTTAGTTTTTTCCTGACTGCTTTTTTCTTAACAAACGGGCACTCAAGAAAAGGCCTCCATACGTACAGCCATGATAGCTTTTAGAGAGCAATACAGGCAAAGGAGTCGAGAAAGTAGAAGAAAGAGTTCGTCTACTTAGATAGAGCTAATTAGACTTGATATTTGTGCTCCACATCGTTTCGTCTCAAAAGACTTATGGAGATCATTTTCAAAGAAAACTGTTCAGATGGTATATTGCGCCCCCATATTGTAGATCAATGATCGGCGATTATAACTTATTCACAAAAGTATCAAAAAAGCAGGAGAGGGAAGAGGTCACATTTTCTCTGTCCTGCTCTTTGTGTCTTTGCGTCTGTCATAAATTTTGCTTACAGACACGACAAAATCAGTTAATAAATTCTATGGAAATCAACAAACGTGACGTTTCTAAAAAAAACCGATCCTTTCAATTGGATATAAAATTTACATTGGTACCGATTTTAGATACTATTCATCGAGGAGCCGCAAAAAAAAGTCCTACGATTTTATAAGGATACTCCTCCGCACGCTTAGTGCTAAAAAAAAGAGATTCTTTTGACACTAATGGATACCTGCCCAATAGTCTTTATTGACATCGCGCTCTTGACACCATACGCAGATAAGGAAGATGTGCAGTTCTCTTAATTCACTTGAAAAATATGCGATAAGAAAATTTCTCTGGCTTTGCAAAGCCGTTTTTCAACCCTTCAATTCTGATGACGACTCTATACGTGATTAGCGCGGGAATACTCGAAAGTTTGTAGGTCGTTGCGAACTTTTTCAAAACAAATTCAATTTTTCGTTTCGGAAAGTAATTTCGACAATCATAAATTTGAAGTTGTTGCTATTTGTAGTGAATTTTGACAAGGAAGAAAGCTGAAGTAAATAGCACAACATAGTCTCAAGAGAAGAAATCGTAAATTCGATATTCTTAAGATTTCGTAATCTAAGATCTATCAGCTCTGAAATATTATCCGCACTTATGGCTTCACAAGAAGTGTAAATTCTTCCCTGGCGGGGCAAATGCAAGGAACACAAAGCTTTCTCTGTTCTCGATATTCGGTATTCTTAAGATTCTTATTCTAGAATCTATCAGCTTTGAAATATTATAAGTTTTATGCCTCGGTACTCCACAAGAAGTGTACATTTTTGCCTCGCGGGGAAAATGCAAGGAACACAAAGTTTTCTTTCGTCCATTAATTTACTTACTAACGCCTACAAGGTTATATGAATTGATTGAAAATAACGGGAAAAGATTCGGTTAATATCCCAAAAGTCGTTAAGACGTCACATGGAAGGTCGAACGAATAACGCAACAAATACTTTTCAAAATCTTTAACAGATATTTTCAGATGTCTCTAATCGAACAACGGAATTTTACGGAGCTCTCTTTCACTCATACGCCACCGAGGCTCAACATCGTTGTTCGTTATTGTAAATTTTTTATTAAACAACTTGTAACAAATTGCGTTGAAGGCCCCGATAAAGAGCAAACACTATTCGCTATTTAAGCGTACATAAATCTTTTAGTTGCTTGTGTTTTATATCACGTTCTTTACACATAATTCGTTTATAATGCATCTATAAAGATAACACAGCACTACACTTACACTACAAGTTTGTTAACGTGTTTATATTTATGAGTTTTATCTGAATTTAATTAACAAAAATGTTTTTCCATCCACATAGCTACTCAGGTTTGTTTCTTTTTCTATATAGTCTGTGTTCAACTGTGTTTATCAAATAAATATTGAACGAAAACGATTTGATAAAGAAATGATAAAAAATATTTATAAATCTTTTGTGAAGATTAACGAAATCCTTATGAAGCCCCTTTCAAACATAGATTTGCTGAATTTGTTTGTTAAACAACAAACGATTGCATTATTTTTAAAATAAAAATTTATAAAGAAAAAAAATTTGTCCTTTTATAATACTTACTGTGCTGATGATAGCTGGGATAGTAACGTCTGTGATGACCGTTACTTTCGAGAGCATAAAAAGCACCCATATCGGTGGTATCTAAGCCTAGACCGCTACCCGAACCGGCCCCCCCTCCGCCGCCGCCTAGACCACTGCTACCGCTGGCCGTAGATCCTAAACCGCCGGATAAGCCATGATGTCCCAAACTTGAGGCGGTAGCACCAATGCCATTCGTTTGTGGCGAACCACTGCTTACCAGACGCGGATTATCGTACCAGCTGCGAGCGGCGGCTTCCGCCGTAGAAGTCATATCCATTTCGAGTATAATTTTGGCAGATTTTTTCTTAAACCACCAAAGTCTCGAATAAAATTTTTTTTTTTTAGCAAAAGGTTTAGTTTACCTTTTGTAATTAAATCACAATAATTTTTAGTGTAAATATTTTTGTGCAGCAATTAATTGCTTTAAAAGAAACTTGGTTTCTGTTTAAAGAAAAACATAAAATGATTGAATGAAGAAATCTTCACTATTTCGAAGTACGCAGGTATTTAACAGAAACCGACACAATTTCATTAAAGTCCTGTTTATCGCTTCTCAAGACATTCCTTTGAAATTGACTTTATCTGGAACTTAGGGTTAAGATTATATAATTAAACTAAATTACTTTGTTTGTAATTACAGTTGCTTTGAAAAGGTAATCACTGTTTGGATTCGCAAATATTATAACTTTCTGTCATATTTGAAGGCTTGCATCGATTTTTTCGCTATCTTGCGGGGTATGTGTTGATTGTTCAGTCCGGGTCTCTCAGATGTTATGGCTCCTATCAAAGCGTACGGTCGCAATGTGTAAATTGCTTACTGATAAGGTTAACAAAGTTGCGAAAAGTATTCAAGATAATCTCAGTTAGCTAATAAAAAGTTTGCGAGAGGCTGAAAACGGAGCTTCTGTAAAATCGATTCGTTTTTAGCTCGTTCCATGTGGACAAAAAAAAAACTTGCATGCTTCCCTACACATTTTGACCTAAAACGAAGATAAATTTACCTTTAAAAAGGAGTTCAATATGCGTACACTAGAAGGCATGAATAGAATTTAATAACCCAGACCGCCTTGCTCTAAGTTCTATATAAGATTTCGTTTAACGAATCGGGCCTTTTAAAGAACAGTCCTTCAAAGGCCTCAACATACTGCTTAGGTATTGCTATGAAAGAAAGGAATAAAACTGTCCCTTAAAGAATTGAAGAAACATTTATTCGATTACTTGTAAAGTTGTAAGAAGATCAAGAGATGCAAGGAAACTACATAGATAACTGTGTTTCAGTAAGTAGACAATTTCCGTTCTTACGGAAAATACCTCGGATAAATGGATGGTAAGAAAATTTGAAATGTTTTCGGTCCTTTAAGAGTTAAACGGTGCGGAATCAACCATTTCATTACACAGTTAGTGCTAGTGAAACCAAGTTTGCTTTGAGTTTGGCTTATGAAGCTTCAAATATCGCAGATCAGTAGCAGTTATTCGTGGAGGGCATTAATAGTAGTCATGGTAGTTCCAATAATAGTTGTGCCACTAAATGAAGTTTTCTTCAGGTTATTTCGCGTATTTTTATTTAGATTTTGTTCGAACATATCCGTGCAGCTAAATCTAATTCATTCTAATTTATTAATTTATCAAATTTGAAAGAGAATGACAACTGCATTGTTCCTCCTCCACCTCCCTAAATATTATTATTTTATTACGCTTCCCTCTATCTAAAAAAAAATTGTCAAAAGCGTCTCTTTTGAACTGTTACGCCAGACTTATCCCTTAGGGCAATATCGTTGCATTAGTCACATTTCATTTGCGTTGTGGCGTAAATACTTTTTCAATTTTTAAAATAGAATATTTACCATAGAAGTATATATTGTCTACGGTCAAATTAGTCCATATTTGTTTTCCAATATTGTAAAACGCTTGCAGTAATAATGGATTCATATCAGATATGCTTAAAATGCACTCTACTCTACTATTACTCTAAAATATTTATCACTTATAGTCCTTTGAGTGCACAAATTATGGCAGGAAGCTCGCCTTAATAGTGGAGTCAACTTGCTTTCAATTTAAACTCAATTTATTCCAAGCTTTTTCGTAACTAATGCGAAACGTTTGCATGAGTGGTATGAGAGGGAGAGAGAAAGAGAGAGTAGAGCAGCGAAACTTAAATTGGAGAATTAATGTGTAAGGGCCGAGAAGTATTACATTGAAGCAATTAAAAAGCAGTAAAAGAAGGCATTTTCCCTAGGAAATGTGCCCTTCCGCTATTAGAAGACCTTACGAGTTGAACCTTTTCAATAAAAGTGGCGGTAAGCAGTAAGTAATTTTCTAGAAGCTCAGCAAAATTACATATGTTGTTTTTTAAATAGCGTGGGTGAAAGTCCATTTCGCATTGATCGCTGGGGCACAAGTCTATGTATCTAAATTCAATTTTTTAACAAACAATGATATCCAAAGCTTCCATTTCATAAAAAAAAAAAAGATAAAACCACATTTGAGATCGCGATCTACTCTAGATCTACTTTTCAATAGAGATTTTTTTTTAATTAAAATAAAATATTTGCCCTTGATTTTAATTTTTTTTTTTCTTTTAATCGTAAAATTGTTATATGCAAAGATGGCAGCAGCAATTAATGAGGCGAACAGTTAGACAATAAAAATCTTTAACTTATTTTTAACTCATTTGGTTTATAGAAGATATAAAAATTTCGTTGAGGTCTTAGGAGGAGGTGATAAGCATTTTCAACCATTCAGACATCGCAGAATGTTTTTAGTTATTAGATATGGAATCACGAAACTACTTTCAACACAAAGCTTGGAAGAAGGCAGACTTAGGATGATAGATCGCCTTAAGTAGGAAGTAGTTGTTCCATGAAAATTAAAAAAGAGTTTATCTTTCTATCAGTGGTACAAAGTGGCTATTTATTTAAGAAAAAAAAAAAAAAAACAATATTTAGGATAAGTTTTTATATTTTATCATGTATATATATATATGGACGCATTTTGTCACATTTATATTAATTTTATTTATTTGTTTATTTCTTTTTTATTTTTTTAGTTTCGCACACATTTCATTATTTTATTCTTATATTTTGAAAGTGGCTTATAAGTATTTTCTATTTATTTCTTTTTTCTTTTAAATATATTTTCTTATGAATCGTTTGCTTCAAAAGTGGCGGAAGTCTTATGTGTTTAAGATTTTTTCTTATTATATTTTTATATATACATTTTGTTATATTTATTTAGAGAGTGTATATTTTCAATAAAAATTATTTTAAACTAAACAATTTATTTTAATATAACGGTTTTTTGTTGCTGTTGTAAAACGGACTGAGAACGCTATCAAAGTGGAAACCTCTTAATTGGAGCTTAAGTTGAAAGTTTCTGTTGAACGGCACCTACATATGAAAAAAGTGTTAGTGATTTTTTTTATGGGCTAACACCTACTAACTTGAAACTTTTTCAGTAGTGTAACAAGAGCCCACAACCTTTGGGCCAATTGCTTGGTGTTAAAAACCCATTGCTGATCTATCAAGAAACGCTCAGATATATCGTAAAGACACTATGAATATGTGACATATGAATTTATCTTATTATGAATTTATGTTATCTAGATATTTTCTTCAAGTGTTATTATTTTGTCTGTGATTTAATACTAATTATTTGTCCGTCGGTCCTCTGGTAATAGGTGGAATCTTGGACAGAGTTATCTAAAAATTTGTCAAGTTGTTCGTGTAAGCGCTTTATTTACTGAGACATGAAAGCATTACAATTCATTAGGGGTTTATTTGTCCTTCAATGCGAGACCAATGCGAAAGACATCTAGAAATATTTGATAATTCCTTTGGATAAAGTCTAACTGCACTCTAAATGTTCTGGTGAATATATAACGAACTATGTGCATAGTTAACCTATTAAACAGGTAGCAAATGAAATTCTCTGTATAAAATCTAGATAAGAAATTTCCTTTTTTTTTCGGCAATCTTAGAAATATAAGTTGATATGTCCGCATGTTTACAATTCATAAAGTAAACATTTAAGTCACATAACTAGTACCCGTAACGAAACATTGGATGATGTATCGAACTGAAAGATTTCTTATCAATTTCAAGATATGATATGAAACTGAAATTTATTGTTATGATTAGAAAGACATATTTGCTTTCTATCTACTACAGATAAACTGTTTCTTATAGAAATAGGCGCACAAGTGCATATACAAATATATATATATATATATATATATATAGGTCGACATATAAAAGCGTATTTGTTTTCCGAAATGTTTAAAGAGAAGTCAAGACGAACACCTATCGTAGATTATTATTTTCAATTATTCTGCCGACGCAAAAACCGTTGACTGTAAGTTAGTACTAAACCATAGGTAGGTCGTTATGTTAAATACATTTTTGCCTTTTTCTATTGGCAATTGCTTGGTTTCCGTTAAAGTTTTGCACTTTTAATATACACACACACAAACACACACCCACACACACATACATATGCACGTATTCGAATAACGTATGTAATCGGCCTTACATTAGCTTAAAACCTTTTCTCAAGTTTCGATATTATTAAATTTGAATTTTTGCACATATTTCGTTTTAGTATTAAATACCCGCACATACTTTCACTTATATAAGGAAGTGAAAAAAGATTTAAAAAAAAGCAATCGATTATCTTAAGATATTTTCTTTTTTTATATATATATTTATTATTATTAATTTGTTTGCTTCAAAATTTTTAAATTTAGAATACGTTTACGCGTATGTATTCGTATTCGTTTAAAGACGCGTGAAAAATTTCGTTCTGTTGATACATAATCGACGGCACGGACACCCGCTTTAATGACAATTAGCGTTTAAATTTACTACGTTTGTGTAAACAACGACACCGATGATGATGAAGTGATTATATTGTAATCTCTACTATACTTTTTTTTTTTCTTATGCTTGGGTTTTGCTTCTTCTTCCGTAATATACAAACAAATGATAACGAAATCACACAAACGTAATTCCCTTACTCACGCAAGCAAACACGTCAACAGTCGCAGACAAACTAAATTCACATCACATGCAATAATGAGAACAAAGCGCAACATTGTTAAGAAGAAAAGAGATGGGAGGATAATACTAAAAGAAAAAAAAAACAAATAAGGACAGAGGTTGGCTATATGTTTGGTTGGGCGAAGTGGTTAAACAGCTCACCCGATTGTTGGTGGAAAAATGCAAAAATGGCTTTTTAGGTGTGCTGTTATCCATAAAGCGAGAGTCAAATCTTTATTTTTAAAAGATGTCTGCGATTATCTCTTTTCCACGCATACTATCTGCTGTTAAAAGGCGTTGTTTGTTTTAAAGAGAACCGGTTTTGCTGGTTGTCACTTTCAAGTTTTTCATTTAGTCTGGCAATGCCTAAATACACACACACATACACACACACACACATACACACTCTTTTAAACAAAATAATAGCAGTAAGACTTGGAGGAGATATTTATAAATGTGTAAATTTAATGAGTGTGTGTGTGTGTGTGTGTATGTATGTGCGATATGACCCTCTCTCTTCCTATATATATGTGCTGTGAGTATTAAATATTAAACAACTTATTCGTAAGCACTTTTGAGTTCGTGTTGCTATCTCTGTTTCATTTTTTTTGTGGTGTTGACATTTCTTTCACACCTTTGGGTGGTAGTCGATGTTAAAGTGAAGTTGACGATGGTGTTGGTGGTGGTGGTGGTGATGATGAAATTGCATGCATGAGTGCATCGTTCAATGTTTAAATGCCCACATAACATGGTACACATCTACATATGTGAACATGTATGCACGCATACACATTTACATTCATATATGTATGTACGCATATATCTGTATATGCCTAGATGTTGATAGTATTACTTTCGAGTACATAGTTAGATGCATGCGTAGTCTTACATGCATTTATTATGCTCTCTTCGCTTTAAAAATTCTGAAGCTACTCGTACGTTTGCTGTCAAACAGTGACAACAATCATCGATCGTTCCGTTTGTGATTATGCGGTTTATTTATGGTTTTAACATGTGCAGATTTGTCTTGATTTTTAGCCCATTGAAACGTACACGTGCAAGCGAGAAAGACTGACACTGTATGAATATGACGAGTGTAAGCGTGTGTGCCCATACATGTGTGTGAGTGTATGTGTGTGAGTGTATGTGTGTGTTTATGTGTTTGCATGTATATGTTGGCACTTATTGTGACTGTAAATAGGAATCCACACAGATTTATATAACGCCTGGCCGTCGTTGTTCCTGCCGGTGTCGTCGTCGTCGTCGTTGTCGTTATTGTAATGTGCTTGAATGGAAAGAATAAAATAGTTGTTGTTTAGGTATCGCTCTGTTTGCGGAAGCAGTAATAGCATATGTGCAAGTAAACGCGAAATTTCTTTGGTTTCTTTTGTTTTTATCTCTTATGTTATGTTATGTTTTACTGTTTTTTTCTTTTTTTTTTTTTTGTTATTTTCATTTCAAATTTGCCAAGTTTTTGCCATTTTGATTTTAGGCGGACTTTGGCTACGCAAGCTCTAAGTCTTTTGTCGCTTTAGTTGTTGTAACCAATGCGTTGCTTTTCTTTTCAGATATAAACAAAAAAAAAAGAAAACTATTAGCGTAGAACATCTGCATATATACATACACATATACATATATGTGCATATATATATATATATATATATATATATATGTTTGTTTTTCTACGCATAATCGCAAAAAAATGTGCTTACTTCCTCTATGCATAGTAACAGAATACGAATTTTTGTGTTTTCTTTTTTTTTCGTTTAAACAATACCCTTTGGTAGAAATAAACCGTTTAATTTTCTGAAAGAATTCATATTTGCCTAGAGTTTGCATAACTAACAGACTGTCTACCCGATTATTTGGTTGACATAGTCTGCCATTGTGTCTACACCGTCATCATGACAATGGTTACTGTTCGGAAATGGGCAACACCACCGACGCCATTAATACTTTGGCTTGTTTCTGTATGCATGTCCGTATGTATGTTTATGCATGTGTGCTTGAGTGTTTATTTGCTTAAAATCCTCCGTGCAAACAGGCAGGCAAGTATACAGCGAAAATTTTTGTGTGAAGCATATTTTCCTTCCTTCCTTCCGTTCGTACGACCGCCGGTTGGTTTGATTATTATATATACATATGTATATATATATTTTTTTCCTGATTATTTATCGAATTCTTCAATCCCTAATGTTTGGTCATATAAACATAGTGCTGTTTGTGACATTTGCCTTTTTTGCTTCGTTTTGTTTCGTTTGTTTTTTTTTTTTTGCTCTTTTTTTTCCTATTTCTTATTAAAGGACATTCAATAGCTGTTGTTGTTCATTTTTGCGGACTATTGAATTTTTTCGCATTTTTATTATTTTTGTGTATTCCTGGCTACAACACAATAACAGCAACAAAGTGTACTCATACATGCGGTTCAAAAAGGTTGTGTTGTGATTTCGTTTTTACTTTTTCAGGCTGCTAAGGAACTTCTTCTAGAGTCTTTTACTAATATGTTCGCAAGCAAATATGTGGTGTCACTTGTATTTTATAATGTTCTTTATTAAATAGATTGAATTTTAAAATTTTACTTTTACACAATTTTTATTTTCCTACTCAGTTTTTGTAACGCATTAATATCCTATTTTTCCATGTTTTTTAAAATTTTTTCATTAGTATATTTATTTGCAAAACTACAAGCCAAGGCACGTAGTTACATTAGTTACAACTTTAAAAATAAAGAAAATTGCAAAATAGAATTATATTTGATGCTTTGAGACTCGCTTATCAATTAGGATCTAACGAGATGTAACATGTCAATGCCAGGTAGAGAAATCCTCATCTGCCGCAAGACACCATGCTTGGTGCGTTAAAAAAAAATAGATAGTTTTTTTTTAAATTCGGTGAAACGCAGCAGCAACTTTAAGAAATTGAATTTGGTATTTAAAGTAGTAAAATAATTTCAAGAAATTGACATGAGAAGAAAATGAAAAATTGGAGCACAGTTTACCTCCGGATACTACGGCAATCCTACAGTACTCCGAGACCTTTCGACAATTGAGAAAATAGTGGAACACGAATTTTATCAAACTTTGCAAAATTTTAGGAAACTTTTCGAATTGAAATAAGAAACTCCCCTAGTTTCAGTAGAAAGGTTACTCTGCAAAGCATAAAGAAAGGCCTAGGCTTAGGCGAACACTTAGAGTCGTATTAGTTACATGAAGATCCTTCAAATGAAAGGAGCGTAAAGTTTAAAGAGAACTTCATAAATGCTTAGCATCACACAATGGTTTTTATGAGGAACTTTTAGCTAAAAGCAAGTAACCTAAAATAACAGATATTTTACAAAGGATAGAACGTAATATAGTAAGTTTGAAGATAATTTAGTGAAATGCTCGAAGGATGCGGATATCTTGCCGAAAAGAAAACGCACGCGGTTAACAGTGTTCAATGATGATGAAGAAGACTTTGTTTAATTCATATTAATATGTGTTACTTATTAAGAAAATTTTAGTAAATGTATTTATCCTAACTATGTAACTGTAATAGCATGTTTCTTTTAATTTTTGATACCTAGTCGCCTTTGTCGTACCTGGTCGCTTCGTATAACACATAATTCGCATGACATGACAACTTTTTGGAACCTAACTCTACTGCTATGTGGGCATGTATATATGGGAGAAAGTGGGGAGAGAGAGAAAGAGAGAGAGAGAGAGAGAGAAAGAGAGAGAGAGAGGGAGAGAGAGAGACCTTTAACAACGCCACTTGTTTCAGACCACAATTCTGAACAACCTATGCAAGAATAAATGTTGAATACCTATCTACTCATTATAGAAAGCGTGCATTTTCTAAGCAGTGCAGCTCTAGTTCATGCACTGATATACTCTTGCTTTTAAAGATCGTTGACTGTATGAAAGGAGCATCAAACTAAAGAGCTTTTCCAATAACAACTAATCGTGTCTTCAATTATATTAAATCGCGCTATACAAGCCTGCAAAGAAATCTATCTGAGGAATTGTTAATCACCTTTGATATTTTGATTTGGTAACTTACTATAAAGCCTTTCACCATTTCCTATCATATATTTAACACAATGGAAAGAAGAAAGATTATGCGGATTATACGACATTGCAAAGGGCAATCAAGTATTCTAAGTTTAGGTCAATTCGTTGTCGAAAGATAGTTCCGGCATTGTAAGTGACAGCTGTTTTCAGCTGGTTTCAAAGAGCTGGAACATGAACTCAATATAATATTGTGTTTGTGTAACTTTTGGTTTGTTATAAAAGCCTTGGTTTCCACTCTATTGAATGCATCAAATTTTATATTAAGAAAGCAGCATTTGCGAGAGTTTTTTAGTTTTCTGTTTTAATAGGAGAAAAGGTGCAGCTGAAGAAAACCCAATACTTGCAGAAGTTTACGGCGATAGTGCATACATACCATCTCAAGGATCCGATCGGGATAATTTTAGTTGCAATATATCTTAACTCTTCCATATTCTTCGAATTCTAGTAATAAACTAATACAAGTTATGTAGTTTTCTACTTTTCCAATGTATTCCCCAAAACGTTTAATGCATTTTTCTAATGATTCTTCAATTCGCTTACCTCGAAGGGACTTTCTCTCGAGACTTCTTAGTTAGCCCCCGTATGGCTATTAAAATCTCATGGATTGATAGAAAACATTTCGTTGGCTTTAAAGTAATCCTCAAACTCATATAATATTCGTTCTTAAAGGTTTCGCGTTGCAGAAAGAATTCATAGCGCACAACATCGCGATAATTATCGCGAAAAATATTGTAACATCATCCTGAGTTTTGAGTAACTGTGGCATGGTTTTTTCGGTCTTGCCCCTCCTTTTTCACAATACTCTC